AAATATTTGATATATTATATAATGTTATTTTATTATAATATTTATTTATTTTTTAGCTGATGCTATGTGAATGGGAACATGTAATAATTATAAAATAGGTGATATCCCAAATTGGCTGAAAAAGTGGAAATACACTTTAACAAGTTTACAAACATTTCTATAAAAGAGTAATGGAGTTAACCTATATACGCAATAAAATCACAAGCACTGAGAACAAAATATTTTATTTCTTTCATCAATAAAACTATAGTATACAGTTATTTTTTTCTAAATAAATTATATAATTTCTCATTTACAAGCAATAAACTAGATCACAATATTTCAAAGACAGTCTGTACACAACATAAGGCTTAGTTATAAATAGCACATCTTTAATTCTCTAGTAAACATATTGAAAATATCTGTATGGAAGCTATTCTCCATAACCCATGTGTACACAGAAGCAAACAAGAGCATGAAGTTATTTGATAACCAAACAAGACTGACTTTAGTGATTATTATTTCAGAATCAGAAGAAATGAAAAAGCTTAACTTTGCATTTAAGGTGTTCTGGAGTCTGTTTTTAATAGGCCAATAAGCTCACACGTCGTGCCGTTAACAGTGGAAAACATGCAAAGAAAACACAAAGTGACTTTCAGGAAGAACATCACCCTTCAGTCCAAGGTGATCTGCAGCAATGAAAGCAGGATCTTCATTGTTTTATAAGAGTTCTTCACAGTTCAAGAGTAGAGTGCAACAAAATGTCAATTTTCCATACCGTCTTGTCACATATGCCAAGTCAATGTAGAGGACTGAACCAAATGTCATGTCTGAAATGGTACACAATCCTAAATAATCTCATGTCAAAACAGGACCACCATTTCTTCTGTGCACGTAGGTCCTTGCAGTGCAGATCCTTCTTCTGCTTCTTCTTCTTCTTCGAATAGTTTACTGCAAGTAAGTGAGCAGAGAAGATGGTTAGAACAATTCTATTACTTAGTTCCTAATAACAGCATAAAGTTAATGATACAAAATGACTCGCACAATTGGATTTGCACTTATCAGATAAAACATTATATACAAGCACAATCAAGGTAATGTACATTGACTGGAATTGTGAAATTATCTTGCAATTAGCTTTCAGTTCCTCCCTTTAACATGCAAAAGAAAAACTAAAAACAATGTTTTCACTTTGCCCACATGGAACAACACATTTGTAGTGAGTGACTATGGGGGTGATTTACTAACCTAAACACACGCACGCACTAGGTGCGTGTGATTTTTACACAGCAAAACGTATTTATCAACTAAAAGCATATTTCCAAAAAAGCGTCTCTAAAAGCATATTTCCACTAATGCCATATATGGAAAAATCATGCACATGATGCATATATAATGCTGCTTCACAGTTTAGACAAAAATGGTTAGCTAATGCATTTACATTCCTGCATTCATCAAGCAAGCAACACAACATAGAGCTAATTTACACAAGATCACCTTGCAAATTCATGCAGGGCTTTGCACAACACACCTGCTGGGTGTGTACACACTACAAAGGTGTTTAGATTCCACCCATAGATCATGCTGGGAGGGAACACACTACAGAGGTGTATACATGTTCGTGGTGTGTTTATAAGGTTAGTAAATCAACCCCTATGTGTCCATGTGTGGATGGGCTTTTGTTCAAATGGCTGTGCACTTCCATACAAATTTATGGGAATGCAAAACCCACTTGAAAGAGATCATATCAGGGTCAGAAGGAGAAGAACTGCAGAGCAAAAGCACCTATCAATGAATTCTGAATAACCTCAGAAGTGTCTTAAACTGTCACTGACACAAGCTGAAGGCCAAACGAAACAGGCCCTAATACGGTGTTATCTGAAGAAGAACTTCTCCTTTGTGGAGTGATAGATCTTGCGGTTACCTATGAGCTCTGCCTGCACAACTGGATTACATTACTGCATTAGCAGAAAATAATGGTAGTATGATCAGCTCCCTTTTAAGCCTGAATTTCTGACATCCTCTACAGTCTGAAAAATGAATGACTGAACCAGTGTTTTCTTTGAATGTTCTAAATTGCAGGCAAATATCTACTTCAGGCACCTGAAGCTGCCTGGATGTAGACATGCAGGGGGGAATTTATCAAAACTAGGGCAGACAAAACCTGCAGCAGTTGCCCATTGCAACCAACCAGCATCTCTCTTCAGTTTGTTCAGTTAAAATTCATAAATGAAATAGAGAAGGTGATTGGTTGCCATGCACAGCTGCTCCAGATTTTGTCTGCAATAGTTTTGATAAATCCCCCCACTATATTTTGTAGAGCTCCACTGAAACCCTAAAGCCAAAAAAGCTCTAAAATGCACATATCTACTTTGGTTCCAGATGTTTTGTTAGCTTCACCTCTTTCTGTGCCTTAGTATTGGTCACTGAGATTGGCCATCAAAAGAAAGACCCAACAGTGATGTGAAGAAGGTGGGGTAAAACATAGGGGTCTATTCACGAAGCTGCCGAAGGATCTAGCCGTAGCTTTTCAGAGGGCGGGTACAATGCTAGTTTACTATTGGATATTGCAAATTGAAATAGCCAATAGGAATCTAGCAATTCATTCCTATGGGCAAAAATTATTTTTTCTCTACTCTGACACGGCTCCGTGTCAGAATAAAGAAAAAAAAAAGAAAAATCAGTGTTTCTCTCCTGGGCAGCCGGGAGCGGGAGACCCCCAGAGTGCCCGGGAGAGTTTTTTGCTTCTACCAGCCTGAAGTGAATAGCCGAACAGTGTTCGGCTCACTTTGCTTTAGGTCGGTTGTTCACTCAGCTGCCCTCGGCAGCTCAGTGAATAGACCCCATACTCTTTACATATTAAAACTCCCAAATATTTAGAAATAGCCAGCTTAATCACATTCATACCTAAGGTGCAGGTACTTTTGGCTGTGTGTTATTTATATCTGAATTGTTGTGAACTGAACACTAACTTCTAAATATTAATACTACTTGGGATGTCTCCATGAAGTAGCCATTGTCTGACTGCAGTTCCTCTACTAATTCTGGGGAAGTGCTTCACCTATTTCTCTACAAATGACAGGACTACCCAACAACTTGGATTTGGAGCAGGATGCTGCTGCTGGAGGCCTCTCACTTATAAAGGTATTTACAGGGGTATTCACAAAAGGGTGCAGAGTTTGGAGAAGGGAGGAGAAGAGAACAATCTAGGACAGCATCGCTGATTTGGAAAAATGCTCCAATTCAGCTCACTTTCCAGTTCAGCTATGTTGTCCTAGATTGTTCACTTCTCCTGCCTTCTCCAAACTCTTCACCCTTTTGTGAATAACCCTGTTGGTGTTTCATGACCAAATCTTTCGCAGGCAAATGCGATTTGCAATTAGGTATATCAAAGATCCACGCGTGTCCAATATTTCCATCCTCTTCACTAGAATGTAATGATTGTTTCTATATGCTTCAATGAACTAACAATCCATCATCAAATCCCCACTGACAACAGCTTTGCAGATTTTGAGCCTAGAATAGGGTTTAATTTACTGTTGTTAAAAACTAAAACATGTCTGCTGCTTGTTAAGGAGTCCCAATAATAAAACTCCTTGCTGTACTTCAGCATCAGTGTGTGTATAATCAGAGACTGCTAAGGGAAAAAAGAACATGTGAAATGGTTGGGGAAACTAGCAGCGGATTTAGAGAGAGACACACTTTTAAATTCATTTTTCAATGCCCCAGAGCAAACACAGAAAATGACATTTTAAATGGAAAAGGGTCCAGTCCTGTGTTCTTGACTGTAAAAGGTATTGCAGCGTGCTTGTTTTTAGCAGTTAATTCATTTCTTTCATTGTACGGTTATGTCTCTACAAGCTCCATGCATTTACACAAAGGGACAAGCTTTATATGCTACTCAATAATGTTGTTTCCTCTCTTTTTTTCCCCAGCAATGCATAAAGAAAGCTTGTTTACTGGAGCTTAAAATATTCAGAAGATTATTTTCAAAGGTAATGCAAAGAGTGCTGGCCTCAAGTAACCCAGAGCAAACTGTTTTCCTCTTTTATCAATTTAGAACTGTCAGAATCCAGAATTATGAGTATGTGTGCTTTGGACATTCTCCTTTTTCCTATTACTGGAGGATGTGATTATTTTGGGCTCCTTATCAAAAATATTCCTGTCATAGTATTATATAGCTATAGAGTCATACTCTGCTGTGCTGTCTACCCCTCCACCCTCTTATGGGGCATCTGACAAACTAGGGGAGAATGTGAGGTGTCCTGCCAAAACAGATATCCTTTACATAATTAAATATCCTTAAAGTCAGTGGTGTCACAAGGGGGGTGCTGCCCGCACCTGGGTGACACCATTGGAGATGTGACAGAAAAATGACTGACAGTCATTTTTCTGTCACCCCCTCTGAAAAGTCAGGCGCTCTATCATGGGCTGAGAGCCCGACAGTTTCAAGAGAGAGGAGGGGACCCAGTGGCATACCTTATCCCTCCGGGTGAACGTCCCCTCCTCTCTCTGTCGGTGTCCATCACCAAGATAGCCGCCAGCAGGTATCAATAAGATGGCCATGCGTGCGCAATGACATCATCGTGCATGCACGTGGTGACGTCACGTGCATGGCCGATTATGACACAGTGGGGTGTCACCTGGTCTCCGCTCTCGGTGACACCCGGCCTCCGGACGCCCCTGCTTAAAGTGCATGTAAACCCCAAAAACAAAAATGTCATATATTGCAGCTTAGCAGTCCTTAGATGTGGGGGCTGCATTCGATTTCAATTTCCAGGCTAAGAACATTTTTAGCACGCAAGCTTTGAAGTTTAGCACGTGTGACAACCATGGCTCCCTGCATAGATACAATGCAGCAAGTGAGCATAGCCAATCAGGAACAGGAAATGTGTTATTCGCAGGATTACCAGGTGAAAATAAAGGGAGAAAAGCCAGAAAAAAAAAAAAAGAACAAACCGTCAACAGCAGATGATTTCACACTATTCTATGTTCATTTTTTTTACATTCGCTGTATACATCACTGACTAAATTTGAATAAATACTAAATATAGCAAGCTGTTTAAGAACATATTGTAGCTGTACATAGAAATGTCGGCTGTTAAGTTCGCTGAGTACACTGGTGAGTGAATATGACCAGAGAATGCTATAAAACAACCACCAGTGAATTTGTCATGCAAATCTTTTGCAAATATACTCTAATAATAACTCACTGATGTACAAGTTGTCACCAAAAAACAAATAAACCCCATTACAGATGCACAAATGTAACAATCTACTCAAAACATTAAGGGGGTTATTCAGAAAAGGGTGAAGGGTTTGGAGAAGGTAGGAGAAGTGAACAATCTAGGACAACATAACTGAACTGGGAAAATTCTCCAATACACCTCAATTTCCAGTTCAGCTACGTTGTCCCAGATTGTTCACTTCTCCTGCCTTCTCCAAACTCTTCACTCTTTTGTGTACAACCCTGTAAAGGTTATTCTCTGGAAAAAATGAACCAGGACTCTGACTGGTTGCTATGTGCAACATTTCATTTTCCCCATAGCTTTTTCTCCTTTCACTAGCCCCCTAGTGTCCCTGTTTTCCCATCACAATGTGACAGGCAGTAATACCAGTCCACCAATAGGTGGCATTGCTGCCTTAGTGGAGATGAATACTTCAAAGGATAGTGCTGATAAAATAAAATACTTTCATACAACCTTCTAATGACCTTCTTTGCTAACGTTTTACTATTTCTGGCCATGTTAAAACACTGCAAACAACATAAATGGTGCTATGCACAAAATTCCACTTATATTTTGGTGTGGTTATTCTTGCTAAGTAACCAGTCTTGCAAACCATTGGTACTCTGTATGCTATTGGAATGTTCACATTGATTTTGCTGTAAGGCTTACTTAATGCCCTTTTCCATAGATATGTTTCCTTGTGTCACAGTAATGCACAACTATAGTGCTAAGTAACCTAATAATTAAAGCAAAGGGGGGCAGAGACTGCTGTGAATCCATGTACATACCCTGTAAAGTGCTACATAATATTCAGGTGTTCTATAAATTCTGGAAATAAATAAGTGCAGTAATTCTACAAATCAAAATACATTTCTGAGCTCTCTATGGTAACCCGAAGTCTTCATGATTGTTATAAATTAAAGTGACACTAAACTCAGGAGTTGAATCTTAAAAATGCATTCAGATACCTTAACTATTAACAAACATGTATCCTATTTGTGTATCCCTCAGCTGTAGATCCTCCAATCATCTCTGAAATCATACTGACACTGTCCTTCACCGCCCAAAGCTCACTCCTGTGATAGACTACAATCTCATGTTTAGTTTACTCATTTGCATTGAGCTTCTAGTCTTTTACAGGAGTGAGCTTGGAGTGGTGACTACTTTACATTTACAACACACACAGGGACCATGGGGAACAAAAGTAGCCACCCTCCAGAAGGAAGGACAGTGTCAGCACCAATTCAGATAGGATTTGAGGATCTACAGCCGAGTGATACACAAATTGTTGGAAATGCACCAGCATACTGATTGTTTTACTGACATTCAGAGATATAATATTGTCTTTTGAGCTGTAGATGGTGCTGTAGTGCAATGTTAGTCTCTATGCTTATGTATACTCCCAATGCTCTATAATGCTGTATTGAGATGTAATGTCCTTCTAAGCAAGTAAAACATAATTCAGCATTCCTCAAGATCTCAGTGCTTCATCTAAACACATAACCAACACAAATAAGATACATTTGTATTAATAGTTAAGGTACTTGAATGTATTTTTAGGATTTAACCCCTGAGTTTTAGTGTCACTTTAAAAGATAAGCACATAGAATGGTGCATCAATCTTGCCTGGACATCCACATCGTATCCTTGCAGTATTTACTATGCTGAATCTGTGGATAAATGCCCAAGCATTACAGTATATATGCACTTAATTTACTAAGAAGTCTGCTTTGCTCAGGTGTCTAAATGTATGCTGGCCAAGCCTAAACTAAAAATACGACTTTCTCTAACGTTTTTGGGTCTGTCAGTAAAATGTAACATTTTAAAATGCTCATACCATGTAGGAATAAACCTGCATCATGTGCACATGCCTATCATTAAAGGCTTGTTCACACGATGTCTGGACCAGATCTGGAGCAGATCTGCAAATGCAGTGCAGTGCATTTGTGCCACATTTTTTAGCTTAAAATCGGCCTTCAGATGCAGTCCAGTGCGTTCCAGTGCATTTGTATCCGGTTTTAATGCATTTCCAAACCAGAGAAAATGAGACAAGCAGTATTGTTTCTTGTCTGGACCAGAACAGACTGCACTGGTGTTAGCAGAGTCCAGAAATACCATAAGGATACATTGAGATTCTTTTTTGGCCTGGGAAAAAACGGTTCTGGTCTGGACATGATCCGGACATGGTGTGAACAAGCCCTAAAGGAGATAATTTAGGACTTAGGGCTAGTTCACACCAGATGCAGTTGTGATGCAGTCCGTTCAGTTTGGGAGCTGCATCCAAAACACATCACAATGCTTTCCTATGGGATTTATGGTGCCCTACTCAAAATTGCGGTAAAAACGCAGCAAACCACACTGCAGCTGCACAGACACACACAACTGTGATGCAGTTCTGGTGTGAACTAGCCCTTTCAGTACTAATTTGTAGACAACAACAATAGAAAACCCTACACAGGTGGGGGGTAGTTGGCACACCAGCTTTGCTTGGAATAGAGATTCCACTGATAAGTACACATTCATACGCTGGCTTTTTTCCTATGAAAGCACAGCTTATGTTTTTTTTTAGGCGGGGATTCCTTGCTTATGTAGACATCCCCCAGCTGCAATACATTCCCTTCACTCTATGGAAATTCCTCATTGTTCTAGTCGGCACTTAACCTGGCCAAACACTGTTATATTCTCTTCACTCAACCTATGGGCTTATCAAAGAAAAATTAACAGATTCCTCTATAAACGCTTACAAGTGTGGATGGAGGAATACTTCACTGTTTTCATTGTACTCTGAAGGCGGCTGGCGGCCGCTGTCAGAGTACCCCAATGGTATTTGCTGTTGATTGGCTGCAAGCTCCCTTAGACCGAAAATCTTCCAACCAGCTCCTTTTATCTTCTGATTGAGAGAAGCCGGCCGAAAGGCGGGCTGACAGTGGCACCCACTGCTCTATTTTGGCTGGTTCATCAAGAACTGGCTGAAATTTACACAGTCTATGGCCAGCTTTACAGAAAGTTCCCTACTCACATGTGACAGCGCTGGGCCAATCACTAATGCTGTCACATGAATGGAAGGGGCATTAGTCACATGCTGCTCCATGCATGGAAATACCAGGTATTTACTTCTGTCATGCCAGCTGAACAGAGAAGTGAAGGAATGATGGAACAGTAAGTATATGCTGCTGGGGAGGTGGCATTAAAGCAGACCTTTTGCTTTGCCCTGAATTTGATGGGCAAAACGCAGGTTTGCTTTAAGTTTTGCATTTTATAAAATGATATAAATCATTAAATTGTTTGGTATAGGAAAAACTTCATACACCTGTGCTCTAGTTTTTATAAGCTGAATGAACTACTGTCAGTGCCCCTCTTGCTGTATAATCACCCAGCAGAAACCAAATACACTAGACTGATCCGTGTTCAGTCTATTTTAGCGTGCGCTGTAACAGAGAGGCGTCCTGCAGTACATTTGGATGTGGCAGGGGAGTGCTATTTGACTAATGCTTTTCATTGAGCCTCTCTTTATTTGTTATTCAAACCTGACTTCATGCTAGTGAAAATAAGGAAGGAACTAGACTGCCAACACCCATAATATCCTGGAACACACGTAGACAAGAGCAATAGAAAACATTTGCAGATTAACAGCAGGGCGGTGGTTAACATTTTCTGTGGCATCACACTGTATTATCGCACAGCTCCAACTGTAGCAAAGTATGCACATTTCTGACAAAGAGAATTTACTGGAAAAAAAGATAAGTGACAGCCGCTGCAATGTAAAAAAAGCGGCATCAATAGTCTACCTAGCACAGCATGTTTAGATGTGAAACAGAAGAGTGAGACAAAGCCAGGTCAGAATGAAAAGCAGTTTGTGTGCCTGTACAGCACTTTACATAGGCTCTGTTTTGTTTTTATGTAGGACACTGATCTGACTCCTGTTAGCATTTTAAATGAACTGAATGCTATAACGCTGTGAGATAGCAGTCAGGGCAAAGAAATGTAAAATACAGTGTTGGAAATACAGAAGCAAGGATGGCATATCATTTATACTAAAAGCTGCTTGCAATCATTAATAAACATTTAAAGTTGAACTCCAGCCACAAAAACTGTCATTTAAATACATTCAATAGCCACAAAGAATATAAACCCTCTTTGTGTGCACCAAACGCCTTTGCAAATCCAAACATTACCTTGTGAAAGCAGCAGTGACATCATCACTGTGCTCTACATAGCCTGTGCAGACCATAGAGGTGTTGGAGGGACTAGCAGGCTCCACCCATTACAGGCTGCCTGGAGATAACTACAAGAGGGGGGTGGAGACAAGACCAGTCACTCTGCACAGGTAGAGAGAGAAGCAGTGACTGGTCTCTATTACAGCTCATGCACAAAGTTTCACAATGGATTACTGCACAGATCTGTAAGAAATACGCAAAGTACAGCAGGATTCAAGTCAGAATACGCATGCCTCTTGTATTTATTAAGCATTTTCTCAGCTTTAAGGCATTTGCCTTACTCAATAAAAGTTTCTTCTCAAGTGTAGCAATCAGAGTGCACTCTGCAGAAATCAGGCCACTATAAGGCTGGGTTCACACCTAGGCGGCAACGTTTTTGTGCGTTTATAAGCGTGTTAACAGCATGCGGTTATTTGCGTGTTTATGTGCGTTGTGCACATTTGTAATGCGCGTTTTAACACGTGCACATGAAGACATGCATTTTGATTGGCAGCTCATAAACCATTGTGGGCAATGGAAGAGCGCGTGTATAACCGCACAAAAACGCTCACGAAAATGTACTACATGCTTCTGTTGCACATTTTTGGGCATTTCCAATGAAGTCTATGGGGCTAAACACTTTTAACTGCCCAAAGAAGCTCCTGTACCTTTTCGGGCGTTTGGGGGTTTTCTGCTCAGGTGTGAAACAGGGCCATTGAAAAATCATGGCATTTCTTGTGTTGGGCACTTAAAAGCGCTTTCCAAACTGCTCAAAAACTCCTAGGTGTGAGCCAGGCTTAAGGTAGATGCTGGTGGGTTGCTATGGGTTTTTGCCATGGTTGGCTTTTTTATTAGGCACTCTAGGCCTGTGCCTATATGCAGCAAAGAAAGAGTGGGAGCTACTGTCATTCCTCACATATGTGTTCTGATATACACACATAAATACAGCTACACATAATCATTTTACTCTGAGCACATAATAACCAGTAAATCAAGGACATACTGTACACTGTGTACAGAAGGTGAGCATAGCAGATGGGTTTTCACTATAGGTTGTGCACCTACAGGCTCCAATGCTGGGAATTCAGCCTTTGGTTATTTCACTTAAATTGACCCTGTGTGTGTTGTAAAGTAGTCACCGCTCCAAGCTCGCTCCTGTGATGGACTACAATCTCATGTTTAGTTAGCTAATTTATAATGAGATTGTAGTCCATCACAGGAGTGAGCTTGCAGCGGTGACTACTTTACAACACACACAGGGAGCATGGGGAACAAAAGTAGCCACCCTCCAGAAGGAAGGACAGTGTCAGCACCAATTCAGAGATGATTTGATGATCTACAGCTGAGTGATACACACATAAGATACATTTATGGTAATAGTTACGGTACTTGAATGCATTTTAAGGTTTAACTCCTGAGTTTAGTGTAACTTGAAAGTTCATATATGTAAATTCCCTCAAGGAAGGGTTGCATTAATAATACTCTTGAATAAAGCTTATAATGAGACATAATATGTATCTCTGCACTTTTCTGAATAAATCTGGATCCCCTTATTTTCTAAATACAGCACCATTTGTAGGGATGGATTAAGCCATTCCATATGAACAATGTATGGAGAATTTTACACATGCTTGAAAGTGTAACAGTTTATTATACCAGAAAAAAAGCAATACACTTCTAAGATCAATTTAACCGCCTCCCGGACGGCCGTTACACAAAGACGTCCGGCCAGGAGCTTCCTGGACGTAACAGGCTGTCTAAAGATGGCCTGTTAGCCCCGCCCACTCACGCGCGTGGGAAACTACCAAAAATGAAAAAAACAGGCAGAGATGCCTGTTTACATACAAGCGATCCACCGGCTATAGAGACAGTGGATCGTTTGTGTGGGGTGCTGATTGGAGCCCCCCCCCCTGCTGGTCCCAAGCTCCAGTGTGCCCGGGACCTGCACGGCGGCTCTGTGACAGGGGATCAGAGGGAGATCGGTACACGATCTCCCTCCGGTCCCCTCTCCGCTGTAAGAATGCGGAAGTGGTGTATATTACATCACTCCAGCATTCTTGTGTCACTCTCCAGCTTCAGAAGCTGGTGAGAAGCTGATGAAGCAGATCTCTGCTTCATCAGCTTCTTTGGGGGTCCCTAGGTGACATTAGGGGTCTTGGAGACCCCTGTTGTCTCCATAAAGAGGACCTGTCACATTCTCTTTGCTATTACATAGGGGGGTTTCTTAGCCCCCTATGTGATAACAATAAAGTTAAGTGGAAAAAAATAGAAAAAAATGAAAGTTGCAAAAAGAAATTAAAGTCACACATGAAAAAGAATTAAAAAACCACAATTTTTGTTTTAAAGTCCCCAACCTTACATACACGCATACGAACATGCATAGGGTGCGCATACTGCCCATTACGCCGCACATGCAACATATCGCCGTGAACGTCGCAGTGAGAGCAATAATTTTAGGCCATCAATTACTGATAACACTAAACTAATGAGTGGTAAGGTTTTAAAGGGTTGCCTATGGTCAATTTTGGGTATAGTAGTTTTTTGCGATTTCGCGGGTGCGCGCAATTTTAAGGCTTGACATGTTTGGTGTCTATTTACTGTGTCTGTAGGCTACCTCCTGGTACACCTGCATTCAATTTATCAACTGCATCAATATGCTCCCAATAGAGTTAGGACCACACTTTAGGCCCCGTTCACATTGAGCGATTTATCGCGCGGTAATTCCCGCGATATCGCGGCTATTTACCGCGCGATATCGCGCTCCAATGCAAAGGGTCCTGCTGTCGCGGGTCGTGTGTCGCTACAGCAGGACCCTTTTTGGAGCGGATTTTGCCGCGATTCGAGCTTGCTCAATGCAAGCATTTGCGCGATATCACGCTATCGCGCAAAATGCAAATCGCGCGACAAACGCGCGATTTGCGAATCGCCAAGTGTGAATGGGGCCTTACAGAGGTGCCTTGACGGTGGCAGTGTGGCCTCCACATATTTTTGGCCAAAGGTTTGTGCAACTAAAACCTCTGCTTTTAACGCATACTGTTAGACAGGGTAATTTGTTTTGTTGCAACGGGTTTTTTTTCCAAAATTGTCAGTAATTTTTCCTTAATATAGCATTATAGCAAAAAATAAAACCCCCAGGGTTTGGTTGGGAATTTTAGGGGAACAATGCTTTTTTGGGGGATTTTTGGGCAAACCTAAAGGGTCAGGTATGATTTTTGGAAGGAAACTGACAGTTTAATTCTGTACAGAATGACTGAGCCGAATGCTGCTGTGCATTAACTCTCTGCTGCTCAGCCCCTATGAGAATAGGGGGTTAACAGCAGAGAAGTAACTGCTTCACCTCAGCCGATCCAGATTTTGCATCGGCTGAGGCGAACGCTTTCTTCCCTTCCGTTCAGCCAAAGATGCTGAGGCCGTACAGATCTGCTGTGAATAGCCGAACATGCTTCTGCTCCCTTCACTTTGACTTGGTTATTCACTTGGCTGCCTTTGGCAGCTTAGTGAATAACCCCCTTAATCGTTAAATCTTCATTGTTCTACTCCTTTTCTCTACCATCCATATTGGTCCCCTCATTCCTCCACCTGGCTCCTCGTTCCTCCAGCAGAAAGACTAGTGCAGTCTGTTGGAAATGATGGCATAAATAAATGACATTATTTCTGTCTTTAGTCACTTATAATATGTAAGTATATATAACACATGAGTATAGCTATAGCGTATAGCGTATAGCTAGGTGCTAAGATAATACTCACTAAGTAGACATCAAAGATGGAACTATTGTCATTGTCCATTTCTAACGTGCTCTGTTCAGATGTCTGGTATGCACTGTCTTCAAGTGTGAATGTTGAACTTGATGGTAAACCCCTTCTAGAAATAGAAAGCAGTGAGTCAGAAAACAAAATAGAATGTCCATCTTACCTAATGATACAAAAGAAACAATTTCTGGTTATTTTATGTTAGCATTAACGAAGGCATCTTTGTTATACTGATTGATGAACATACACAAGATAATAAACAAACCATCAATTATAGATTTATTAGCTTCAAACTATTTATCATAAAAACAATCATTCGGCACAATGAGAAAGATAAATCTGGTTGAATTTGCCATTTATTATACCTAGCCGTACTCATAATATTAAACAAACAATTGATCATAGATTCAGTAGATCCAAACACTTTGATTCATTTGGTTGAATTAGTCTGGATTTCAAACACCCCCATTTAGTGCAACTAATTTCTGAAACATATGATTCTTTGATCAAAGCCTTTGTTATACCATATAAGCGTATCACTTACACATAATATCAGCATAAGACATTTCTTGTCCTGCAATAGATTATTTTGAGTCCTTTCTTGCTTGCAAAGATCAGGGTAGTAATGGGTGATTTCTAATGTTGGAAATTGTTGTAATTGGACATAAAAGAGCTATTCTCTCACTTTGTTCACACCATAGTCACTTTGTTCCCACCTCCCCATACCTAGTGAAAGTGGTTATACGGACAATAAATGGAGGCAAGCCTGGGGACCCAGTCAACAGTGAATATCTAACGGAGATTCTAAGGGGGTTATTCACAAAGCTGCCAAAGACAGCCGAGTGAATAACCCAGCTGAAGTGAGCCGAACAACGTTCGGCAATTCACTACAGCTCAGTACGGCTGAAATCAGCGGTAGATCGGCTGGCTTCGGCTGCACTTCGGTCAGCTGAACATGCTCTGCAGAAGTGCATCTGCTGAAGTGCAGAAGGACTTTGACTCAGCCGATTCAACATCTTGATCAGCTGAGCTGAAGCTCCGGCAGCTCACTCGCTGCCTTTCACCCCTATTCACATAGGAGCCTAGCGGCAGTGAGTGAATAGCCGAATGCCACCGAGCGGCATTCGGCTTGGCTATTCTGCTTGGTACCTCCGTGGAACCGAGCAGAATAGAAAATAGAAAAAAAAAAGTTGAAAAAATATTTTGAAAAATGTAAATAAATATTAAATTAAAAAAATGAATAAAGATTTTAAATTTTTTTTTATTAAAAAACAAAACAAAAACAAATGACTGACCTCCTTCATTTATAGGACAGCTGTCTAAAGAGTGTTGCAAATCTCTCCATAAGTCTGTATGGTGTACACTTCTATGCATACAAGTTTATGTGAATAAAGAAAAGTGGGTTACATAGTTACATAGTATTTGAGGTTGAATAAAGACGTTAGTCCGTCAAGTCCAACCTATTAGGATCTCATTCTAGGAGTACCCGTACCCCTGTCTATTATGGTTGGAGAACAGGGTGCCTGCTTTAGCTTATCAGGGGGAACAATAGCAACGGCACTAGGTGTTTCTAACCTGTCCAAGCCCTGGTTCACACCTAGGCGTATTGCATATGCGCGTCTGTCGCGGGGTTTTTTACCGCGATTCGCGATTTTACCGTGAAAACGGCCCAAAGTAGTACATGTACCTTTTCAGGCGTGGGCCGTTTTGTAGCACGTTAGGGACGGGCTGAAATACACCAAGGTGTGAACCAGACCCATTGAATACAATGGGATTTAGATGTTGAGCGTTTTGTAGAGCGTTCGTCGAGCGTAGAACTCGCTACAAAATGTTCAGGTGTGAACGAGGGCCAACTGACTCTTCCACCAAACAGCTGGTTGGGACAATCTGGAGGGTCCCACAGACATGAGATTGCCTTTTCATGTCCTGGAGTACCTTGAGAATCTACCAATAAAATGTTTTTTTTTTACAACTCCAGCCTCTGGTGACAGATGTCTATGCTGATCACCAAGGCATGAAAAAACAAACTCAGTCTCTAATTGTCCCTTTTAGCTGCTCACTCCTTAATTTACTGATAAAAGGATAGATTAAAGAATGATGTAAATGCATTCAGAGCAGATAACACACAACTGCTTCAGTATGTCACATGGTCTGGTTACTGATATCTGAGCAGGAACAAATAATAAACCCCTAGAGATGCTGTTACTGTCATTCTGTTTCATAAATTACCTGGTTTGAAGGATTACCTTATTTCAGCTGTATGCCTACATACTAAAGGTTATAGATGTATCCAATATGCCCATATTGACCAACCCATAAAGAAACTTGACAATGACAGAACGTTAAAAACAGCCATTCTCAAAATCCTGCCTATATTCAACTGTATACTACCTAAATATAGCAGCATAAGGAAAGTAGCTGGAGCTATCATGGTGGCACTTATTGCATCTACTGCTACAGTGTTCAGCTTTAAGGTGCCCATACACTGTGCGATAATCGCGGGAAATCCCGCGATCGTACGATAATCGCAAAGTGTATGGAAGGCGTGCAACCGTTTTTACTGTACGGTCGCACGTCTTTTGTCTAAGGAGCATGTTCAAAAACGATCTTACGATTTTCGGCTGGTTTGTGGCATGCTCGGGAGACAAATGTTGAACGGGCCGGTGTGTGCACGCGCACACTGCCCGTTCAGCATTGCGGTCATCGGAAGCTCGCCCCTCAGCGGGGCGGGCTTGCGATGATCGCAAGTACGATCTGTCTGTCTAAGATGGGCAGATCGTACGTTTTTTTAATTACTTTACAACCATCACAAGACTAAGGTCTTGCGATGGTTGTAAAGTGTATGGCCACCTTAACACAAAAAAACTTATCAATTTGCTTCTCCTGCTTCCAAGGCAATTCAAAGGGAGGTGCTAGATTATAGCCTTTGCCCTTTGAAGCCATTGTGTTACTAAAAAAAAGGATTTAGAACACATACCACCTGTATGAAAACATTTTTATACTTTCCAGGTCCGCTGGCCAAAGAATTTTCACATCCAACACAAATCCAGGTATGTTAGATGCCTGCATCCCGTCGTGCTTTGTGGTTTCTTCCACTGCCCCCATGTTGCTACTTTGTCATGTAGTGATGTAGGGGCTGATGTGAACATTTTGTATGTGTAATAGCTCTGCAGCAGAGCGAAGGTTCAATGGACAAAGGGGCGCTGGATCAGGTATAAAGTCTCTTCTTTTACCTGTGCTATTTGTTTAGAATCTTTTTTCCCCAGTGTCGGGGATGCTTTAAAAGCCCTTTCATACTTCTGCATATGCACTTACATGAATTTATGAAGTGTGTAATTGTATACACTTATGCACTCTTTTCTATACGTTATACACATAATTATGTTTCATTTTGTGTTTTATACATGTTTCTTGTTCATTCACTATGTCAATTGAAGGAGAAACATACAGTATTGCAATTTTTACATTGCTCAGATGTGCTGAAAATGCACAAAAATACATGTGTCTGTTTAACCTTCATTTCAGTGAGCCTGCTTGACACATTTAAATACGCAAAACGGCAACATTTTCTATATTTTAAACATGCACAAAGTTGCACCACATTATTGTGAAGTAGCTATATAAAAATGAATGGGATTTCTATCTGAAAACAGAAAGAATATAACCCAGAAGGTAATAGTCAGAAGGGGTAGAGAGAACCAAAAACCAGTAAGTCTTCCACTGAACTAGTGAATAGCACACCATAACCTTGCCCTCCACAGAAGCCATGGTTTCCATACACTGCACAGATGGTGGCAAAAGCAAAACCTAAAATGGTTGTCTGCAGTTTGGAATACATGTCTATATTAGGCAGTATCTATACTATACACCAGCGGTCATGGATGTGCAGTTGCCATTGTGGCGTAAAGCAATTATTTGCATGGTCCCGTCCACTATCCTAAAATGAGCATTTTAGCAATTTAGCATAAGTGGTGAAATAAGACATGTGAATGCCTTCTGTTAAGGCTCTAAAAAAGAGAAAAGTTTGAATGGTCCCTAAATCAAATATTAGTCAATAAGTATTGACTGGAAATGGTGGGAGACCCTGGACAAACCTAAAGGTCATGCTACTTGCTAATCAAAAACATGTAACCAGGTAGTGTGTGAAAATAAACTATGAATTCTGGGTAGATTTATCATTATAACTAGGGATGCACCTAGTATGAAACTAGTATAGTTGCCGATACCAGTATATGGGCGAGCACTTGTACTCGACCCACTTGCTCCGATACTTATCCCAATACAGGAACTTCCGGTTAGAGGGAGATTTCCTCTGACCGGCAATGCAGCGAGAGAACATGGAGCCGGCTTCCCGGCCAATCAGGACGCTGGACCATGGGTAATGACTCGTGGCCCGGCTTCCTTACTGGACAGCAAGCCGACTCCATGCTGTTTGGCCAGCTCGATGCTGATTGGCCGGGAAGCCGGCATCCTAGCCAATCAGCATCGAGTCGGCCAAACAGCATGAAGCCGGCTTCCTGGCCAATCAGGAAGCCCGGCAGCGGTGAATGATTGTCCAGGAAGCTAGCTTCAAGCTGATTGGCTGGGATGTCGGCTTCAAACAGCATAGAGCCAGCTGTCCAGGCAATCAAGAAGCCTGATGGCGGGTAATAACACGCTGCCTGGCTTCCTGATTGCTCAGGAACTCCTGGATACTACCGGAAGTACCGGTATGGGTACTTGGTATCAACGAGTACCGAAATATAAATATCAGTACTCATACTTCATACAGAAAAACTGGCATTGGTGAATCTCAAATTATAACCGATCATTTCTAGGAAAACATGCAGGGATCTTTGTCCTCCACAAGCCCAATAACAGCATTATGAACACCATTTGCAGTGCCAGGGTTAAATCTGCCATTTTAAAAAGTCATGGGTGGTAGAGGATGGGGGGATATTAACATTATAATTAACAACAATGCAGAGTTCCAAAATATGCTTGACAAATATTTTTACTACTAGTCACGTGGACCAAAATGAATGCCAATTTTTTTCCACATAAACAAATGATATCAAGTAATTTGTAAAGTGGACGAGCCAGTTTTTAATTCTGTGGTTAGACCATAATGTG